ATACATAGACATTTGAAAAAAATATATGCGTATATGTGTGTGCGGTGGTGGATCTACGAGAAACGAAATGTGGAAGCGTTTAGCACCACAGACTTTTGTATAAGCTTCGCACAAACCCAAATGAAAATAAGCACCAGACGGCTTTAATCAAAAAGCATAAGAGGCTAAACCCAATCTCGTATAAAAGGACCACCGGGGAGAAATACCACCAAAGCGAGAGAAGACTAGATGGAGACGTTGGGCAGGAACACGAGACCATGGACGAACATTGAGCAGGACCGGGACTGGTAAGCGAGACTGCTTTTACAGAGTGGGGATTCCATTAGCGGTGGAATGTGCGCTGTCGTCGTAACGGATCTCCGCTAGGCATTAGCAACCATATTCAGGGTTTCGAGATCTCCACTGTTGGTTAATGCAACCCTGAAAAGACTTTACCTTGGGGAAGGAAGCACTTTGGCAAGGATATCAGGACCTGGAATTTGTGAACGGATTCCGAATAATATTTCGTTTTTCTTTTCACTTCTCTCGCTTATCTTTTTTTCTGATTTTTCTTAAATAAAATATTATATTTTGAAATGCATTTTTCAACCTTGTTCTTCCATAGTGAAAAGGGGAGGAATTTAGGTTCTCCTTTACTGCGGCTAAGGGATAAAACTTAGGTTGCTCCTCAATATGTCCAACTGTATCTATGATATTTAGATCCTCTACCACTATATCAGGGTTACTTAGAACAGATATTGATCCATATCTTTGAATTTCACTTTTTTCAGCTGGCAGTTTTTCCATATGATTATGAACTTGTACTTTCCGCATTCACACCACTTCAAACATTTGAGTTAATGCATCAGCACGGCGTGCTATTCGCCCTCCTACTACTTGTCAATTTTGACTCTTGTATGTGTATATTTTGAACGTATCATTGCAGGATTGGTGCGAGTAAGAAAGAACCTTGATCAAACACCGAGGCGTGGAAGACGTCCAGCGCTTGCGCTCACTCAGAAGCCGTTTGATCTCGAAAAATACCGGGTCGGTGAGAAGGATCACGAGAGTTACGAAAATGCTTCCATTTGCTCTTGCTCTTGCTATCAACTGCCTTATTCTGATACCGCTGTTCGACAAAGGTAAGCTCTCAAAATGCGACCACCGAGCAGTCTTGTTTAATGAATAGGTAGGTTTTGTAGTAGAATTAGTGTGCAAAATGTAAAAGCCAATATTTCCAGACAGGAGTGGTTGGTGGGAGCTGCTGATGGCATATGCTATCGTTCCGGTTACTTCTGTGTAACTCAGCTTCTGTATGCAAGTGAATACGAAAAGGGTTTTGATTTTCGATTTAGCACTTTTGGCATTTCCTTCTGTAAAAATACCGAGAGCTTCGCTTCGGTGGGCCAGTTGGGTTAGCTGCTATTTTCTACCATTGCATAAGTCAGCAAACACTATAAATCCAAAAATTAGGTCCTTAGCGGTGAATAACTGGCAGTTAAATCATGGTCTTTTTATTCGTCTCATTCTTGAGG